CACTCTCCAGCACCTCCGAGTTCACTGATTGCCAGAATACAATTATCGTTTGAGTTGTACGCTTATTTAATGAAATTGCCAATGGACCTGCATTACACGAGCTGTTGTGTGAGTGTGGGGGGGTCAGGTTGTGGGATATCGTTCCAAAACGGCTGTACCTGGTCCCTGGTGTGTCAGTGAACGTGCAACGATTTTAAACCAAGGGTGTCCATCGTGGTATCATCTTTTTTCAAACAAAGCAAAGTGTAAATGTACAGCAGTGTACATCACGTAGATTCATGGCCGCGCGCTTGGTAGACTTCAGATTTTGCCTCTCCACGCGTCCACCGTGGCACTGGAGGCAACGGCGCCGTCTCCAGGTGGCGCAGCGTGCCGGGTGTCCCCCAACATCTCACCTGCGGTTGTTTGGAATGCTTCTCGCGAGTGCCCTTGAACATCACCCGAGTGTTTCAGCAACAACGACAAAACTAAGCATCGACAGGAACGTGTTGCCAATATTTAAACTCTGTAGTTCAGAAGCTGCTGTCTGATACGCAACCCGATGTCAATACACAGCTGAGTGAAGGGCCTCACCATGCGTTGTCAGTGACGGGGGTTCTTTGACCATACTTCACCTCACTGGTCAACGCGAGTTGGTCAGGTGGGGATCCAGGGCTGGTTCAGACATAATTCGTTACCGTGGCTGGGAGTCAAACTCAGGTGGCCGGGTTCATGGCGCAGTGCTTCTCTGATCCATTCTCACTGTATAATTACATTGGATGATACATTTATAGACACCGGATTATCACCAGGATTTGTTAGAAGCAGATACAAAGTGGGAAGTGTGATGTTAACGTCCTCCTCAATATCATATTCAGATGCCACCACCGATTGCAGAGATTTTTGGCAGCGTCCTTCGGAGAGCCCGTTTTTTCACTTGCGTCTCAGATTTACCTCAAACTCTTACTGACACGCAAACCTTGGCTTGGCCAGCGGCCAGCTTCCCTTGAGAGAGAGAGAGAGAAAAAAACATTACAAATTCCAACATTCACGCGTATCGGTTATATTGTATCGCTAACAATGGATACATTAACAGTTGTCGGACACACATTATAAAGCAGGACGGGTGTTTTCAAGGGGAGCCTTGGACTTGCCGCTTTAGTTTTCCCGCACCGCTGCGTCCACCAAGTCCAAACGCAACCGTTGATTCACATCTGCAAATTAGGTCCAACGTCGAATTCCACGGAGGTCTCTCCAGAGCAGTGGTCCACCAGAGCAGTGGTCCACCACTGCTCTGGATTAAAATGAACGCGTGAATGGGAAGTCAGTGGCACGCGACTGGTTTTACATAACTGTTGCAGATTTTTGGATTGCAGCCATAATGCAGTGATGTGTTCAACCCCCATTGCCGAATATTTCCCCTCAGTAATTCCGCGGAGAGTGCCCCAGCTACACGTATTTACTCAGACGCTAATGTTTGGCTAAGAATGTTAGGCTAATTTTGTGGTGGTTTTTTTTTGGGGGGGGGGGGGGGGGAAATTCAATTAACCAGTTTGAGAAGGTACACCTGAGTAACTTATTAATGGAGTTATTAATTGATCAAGTGCTTCCAAGATACCAGCAGCTGTTATAGAAAGGAAAAAAAACATCGATAACAACGGTACCCGAGGTACTTGTAATGTAGCATCCGTGTGTAAAGTTGAAGTTGTGTTAAATTTCATGACTGTTACCTGCTGGCACACATAGAACAGCAGTGGCTTTCACAAAGTATGCAACTTGGAGAAAGGAAAGGGGGATGGAACACATGCAAAAAGTAAACGACATCCATAAAACATTGCCACATGTGTGAAATTGATTTCTGGGCTTGAGCAGAGGTGGTTGGTGTGTTTTATACGCTGGAGTCCTGCACAGAACTCACATTATTCTTAGTTCTTTCGGTAAAGTCACGTTGAAGGGAAACAACAAAATAATAAAATATATATAAAACAATAAAAAAATTCTCACGACGTTTCGACCATAACACAAACGGTCGTCTTCAGGTGTGTTGGTTTGCATAAGACGACCGTTTGTGTTATGGTCGAAACGTCGTGAGAATTTTTTATTGTTTTATATATATTTTATTATTTTGTTGTTTCCCTTCAACCTGACTTTACCGAAAGAACTAAGAATATGAATTACTGCAGTCACGAAAGCTTTAAATCAAAATAGAACTCACATTGTGCATTAGGTTGAGAAATCTGTGCCACCTCCCTCAGCAAATGTTTAAGGCGTACAGGACTAATAGTGATCCACTTTTGTGCCAATTATAGACTGAAAATTGCCAAATAGTCAGACAGTAGGAAGGCTTTGGGCATTTTCCCACCAAAAATGTTTGCAGAAAATATTCGTTGCACTCGCACATAAATCAGACCCTAAGTCTGGATTGAGGCCTACATTTTTTCATTTTATTTTAATGTGGAGACAATGTAGCTGGTTATCACAATTTGTTTAAACATACAGTATTGGCTTAACATTTTAAACAGATTTTTAACGTGTTTTCAAATAAGAGAGACATCTGTAAGGACTTTGCAATTCCTATACTCCTAACGATAAACTATACAGTTCTAAAATTGGAGCCAATTAAATGCAGGTTCCTTAAGTCTAAATTAATCATAACATTATATATCTTGTAAATTATCCTTATCAGCAGCAATAACGCACTGCAGTGCGTTTTAGCTGTTGAAAAAAAAAACATATGAACATTGGCTGGTTGATGAATTGGCACCTCAAATCTCAGGTGTTTCTGTCTGCAGTTGCCAACCTCTATATTTCAACAAACATGGGGAAATCATGTGGGCATCAGTAGTTTTGAGAAGTGGCCTTTGCCTCTTGTTCACACATGACCCCCACGGCATGAAGCCAGATATTTTTTGTTCGATGAATCATTTACAGGTCCCCAAGGGCTGCATGTCGAACGTGTCATAATGGACAAGGATGAGACAAAAAAAAAGTTATACGCTGTCAAACCACTGGTTATTTTTTTTTGGCGTGAAACGAGACAGGAATGATGATCGTACAATTGACAATTTTGTCGACGAGAATAGTTTCAAATTGCGGAACATTGAGTAGAATTTGATGTGCACAAAATACGAGGTGCAAAGCATAAAGTGTAAGTTTTTGTTTCCCTTTTGCAGTGTGTATACAAAATACCCTCCGAAAAACATGTCCACTTTATGCTCAAGCTCACATAGGTGATGAATATTTGCATATGGGCAAATGTATCATGTGACAGACATGAACTCAACATGAAGATTACTGAATGTGACATTTAAATACAAAAAAAAGTTCGAAAATAATCTTGAAACATGATTTTAACAAACGATGAAATCGATACTAGAATAACAAGTATTACATATAAACGTATTATGTATATAATACTGTTGGAATGTAAAGCCATGGGTGGGCCACAGGACCTAGAGTTATACATCAACAAGAGTTATAATATAGCAGTTTGCCCCAAATACTCCTTTTTAAAGAGATACACTTTACTCCTTTGCCAGTTCCACAGAGTTTGGGGCACTGGTGTAAACATGAATGTTTCAAAATCAGTGGGACACTGCCTTGATTTGACAGAGAAGCCAATGAGCCCTTTATACCCAGGTAGCTTTCCTGTATAGGGACATCCATGCCAGTCAGGCACTCCATATTATTATTAGGAAGTCACTGGAGATGTGCACTTTGAAATATAAATCGAAAACTCATTTTGATGTCCTTCGCCCACCGCATCGACCATCCGCACGGTTGGCTACGTACGGTTACGAAATAAGTTTAACATACATACTCGACAAAGACAAAGTGTGCTTTCACCAACCCGCACTGAGCAGTATGGTGCAGCATGGTAAAACAATCCCCCATCATGACTGCTGCACGTCAATGCTTTTGTTTTGGCCAAAGTGCCTTGAAAAAAAAGAACAGACGTCGTCAAGCACTCCTTACTTTTCAGGCACAGGAAACCTTCTTGCTGGATACGCGTTCGAATAAAAGCCCATTTGCTACAAAACTGTGGTTAAATTATAAGTGTAGGACAATGGGATCTGATCTTAGAACACAGCACGTTAACTCAAACCGAATTCTCATGTCATGCACGCACGGTTGATCTCTTTAATAATTTGTGAATTATTTTTTTCACGGTTGCATTCCGATTGCGTTTTCCGCATCGTTTGGAACCCACGCAGGAGTGGTGCAACTCTTCCGTGTTAGAGAATGGCCCACGGAAGCGGATATCACAGAGCTACCTCTGAGATCCATTTTAGTGACCTCTGGTGCACACGATTAGAGGGGGCGGCACTTTCCCACTCACCCTTAACACGATAAGCAAAATATTTTTCTATACTAGATTAATCCGATGAGCTACAAAACTCTTTTTCACAGATGTCCAGCAGATAGTGAGGTACGTCACCCGTCGGTCAAAACGCAATTATAATTTCTCAAGAGGTGAAATGTAACCTAGATTAAGTGCACAACCAAACGTAATGAGACGGTTTCTTCTCACCGCTTGTACAAAACCAATACTGTAAATTCGAATTCAAAATGTGGTGAATATTTCTCCTGCTCATTGAGCCCTGCGCATGCACTAATTATTTGTTTTGTTCCAGGTGAGGCCCACTGAGCTATGCAGCTCTTTTTCACAAGCGACCTGGCCACAAATGATAGTTCCACGAAGTGGCTTTCATGTGGAAATTTATAGCAGCCAAATACTCGAAACGCGTGTTTATAAATGTGGAGCGAAAAACCAAGAGGACCCGGCGAAAAATCCACGTGACCACGGGGAGAACATGCAAACTCCAAATATACAGCAGCAGGCGTCAGGATCGGGATCGAACCCACGACCTCCTGTATACCAGGCGAGGCAGTTAACATCTCGCCACCGTGACACTTCCCGTGTAACAGAAGCAATCATCATGACCACTTTCTCACCCTTCTACGTCAGAAATATCCTGCAAAGCAGTCGGTCATCTATGGCAAGACAAAGAAATCAGACCTTACTCTCACTTTTATCCTTTATTATTGTTATCGTTATCTTTATACGAGCAACCACCGTTAGCGTTCCTGCGGAGCATTTAGTAATTCTAAAGCTGTCGGCACAACTGGATTGAGTCTGCATTTGTGATCGAAAGCACGTTTCCCAACGAGAAGCATTGCCAATGCAATTCAGACGACAGTAGTGTTAAACTGGGGCAGCCTGGTAAGGGCACGGTGTGTTAAAACTCATCGGGAAAAAAACTTGTATTTATTTTTTAAATTCTTAATCGGTGTGGTGGCATAAGTCTGTAATTTAACCTCTTGGAGGTGGGGTTGGTGGATAACAAAACGATGGAACTTGTGCAAGGCACTCCCTTTCTGTGCCATGAGGTGCATGTGTAGTGACATGGAATGGTTCACTATGGAGCATAGCACTGATTGCTGGCAGAGAAAGGGATCTGCGGTTGCAGCAGCCCTGTCAGCAGGTCACGTGATAAGCAGAGAGGGTTGTAGGGCAAAGGTGATAGAGGGGGCATGTGAGGTTAGCCCGGGAACCCACGAGTAGGTTCTAGAAGGGAGGCGAGGCCGGGGCGGAGCAAGGCCACGCTAGGAGGATAAAAGGAGACCCCGAGCGAAGGTTCGGGGCTGTTGCTTGGAGTGGAATCCCAACGGGCTGCTGGGAGTCTTCGTCACCGTCTTCACCTTCTCGGCGTCGTCAGTCAGCCAGTCTGTTAGCTGCCCTGACTGAAGTATAGTTACCCCTTGTACCCTGTGAAGGCTGTTAATAAATAGAGTGCCTCCTACTCCTGGTGTCAATGAGTGGATCACTACACATGCAATAAGCAGAGCAGTCTGTTTACAACAGACGATTTGCAAGAAGTTTTAGAGATTTGAACTTGTGCATTTAGGGATTCCCTGGAAACTCCAGTTTCCTTCCACACACTCTTGAAGCAGTGCGATCCAAAAAATTGGTGAATACGACCTTAAAACTTTCACGATTTCCAGGGATAACCAAACGTTGGTAATATTAACGTAAATATTTTCCAAAGCATGCGATGCAAGATCTGATCACATGACGAACCATGCACCAGCTTAGTTAAATAATGCTATCGTCCCAACCAACGTGCGCATTATTCCAGGATAATAATATCGGTATCAAATTGCCCTTCCAGGCTGCAATATGCATCTGACAGCCAGAAAGAAAAAAAGCCACAGCAGCTTGTGGCAGGCAACCCCCTTGCTCATGCAGCAGATACAGACTCTATCCAGGCGTGCCGAGACAACTGAGAGATGGGAGTCACAATGGCGTGCGGGTGGGGTTTGTTGGGTTGAGGGCATTGACGGCCCTTGTGGCGGTCTTGGCGTTGGGCAGTGGCGGTGCCTCTGGTCGCCGTCTCTTCCGCTCTCTCTCTCTCTCTAGCCCAGGGAGGTGATGTTCGAGCGTCCCCCGGGAGGCGCCACGATACGGTGTCCGGTGCGACGCGGCATATTGTCATCCACTTGGGCTCCTGCCATGAATGCGCACATGCACAAACGCAGCTATAGCGAACAGAAGAAGCACGAGATGCCACCGGGAAAGTTCTAAACCCATTTAAAAAAAATATATTTCACCGGGTAAGGCCCACTGAGCTATGTAGCTTTTTTTCAGAAGCGACCTGACTTATCACACGTGATAGCTCAACGAAGTGGCTTATCGCGTGGGCATTTATAGCAGCCAAATACTCTAAATGTAGTTGATTCTAAATGTGGAGGCACCTGCAGAAAAATCCACTCGACCCCGGGGAGAGCATGCTAACTCCAAATATATAGCAGACATTGGTGAATTGAGCCCAATAAAAAAATACATATTTACATATATATACTTTTTTAACACGTGTAAATTGCGATTCAGGAAAAAAATAGTTTTATGTATCCCCCGTGATATACAGTAACGGATCATATATTTTAAAAAAGATATGTGAATTATAATCTGTGTTGACTTTATCTTTCTTTTACGCGAGTATGATGTTGGAGATGTGATCAATAAACATGACGAGTATTTCGCTCTAACTCTCACGTCCAGTATGTAGGGGGAAATGTTGTAACGCCAATCGCTGAATGGTCCTAATTTTTGCATTTTCTCCAGCCCCTTGCAACCGCTGCAGGCAGTTTGGTTAGGGGAGCTGAGCCGTCAGCAGTGAATCTCAATATTTTTACTGGAGAAATCCGATGAGCTATGAAGCTCTTTTTCACAAATGTCCAGTAGAAGTGGGGGCCCAGTTCCCCCCACCCCCTGCCGATGATACGTGGTTTGCATGGATCAGCGCTCACCACCACTGGTGGCCCTGAACCCAACGGTGTAAATTACACATTCCTATGGTGGTAGGCGGTCTTCCCTCCAGCGCACGCACCGTTGGCATCCCGCAAGGTTGGTACTCGTCTTATTGACCTCGAAGAAAGAAAAAAACCTGACCAGGAGTTCAACTTTGACCATCATGATTGTGACTCAAGCTCTCTCTTTGTCACAGTGCCACCCAGTCGCTCATTACTGGAAAAACATACATTGAAAGCAGTGAAATTTCGATTTAAAGCTTTCGTGACTGCAAGGATTCATCTTCTTTGGTTCTTTCGGTAAAGTCACGTAGAATGAGAATAAAATAATAAATTGATAAAATAAAATAACACTAAAATTCTCACGACGTTTCTCTCTCACCTTTCTGAAGAGATGCCGCGACTTTAAGCTTAAAGATCGCGATCTGAGCGTGGCTTTTTCGCTCCAGCGCTGTCCTCCAGACAGTCTCGTCCCTTCACCTGATGAAGGCCGCTTGTGTTGTGGCCGAAACGTCGTGATAATTTTATTGTGTTATTTTATTTTATCAATTTATTATTTTATTCTCATTCTACGTGACTTTACCGAAAGAACCAAAGAAGATGAAATCAGTGACTTAAAATTTGAGTCTGGCCCTGACCATTTACATTCTACTGGACATCTGTGACAAAGAGTTTAACAGCTCATCGGATTTCTCCAGGATAACAAAGAATTGGACTCAAATACACAGACGTGGCAACATGCCTTTGCCGTTCATAATATTTGTGTCGGCAGGCAGTGTCGGGTGGAGGTATGACCCTTGAGCTACACCCGTTTCAAACCTTTTAAAACAGTTTGCCTCAGCAGCAGACCATACTTTCCCACCTGATGATGGATGCTTGTGTTGCGCCCGAAACGTCGTGATTTATTTTATTTTATACCCACGTGACTTTACCGAAAGAACCAAAGAGTATGGATTCCTGCAGTCACGAAAGCTTCAAATCAAGACTGGAGGTATGTATGTTGAACTTCTTACACAGTACGTAGCCAACCGTGCTAATCGGAGGTGCCAGAGAAGGACAAACTAAACAAAAAAAACGGTTCTATGAAATTAGCTTTCAATATAGATTAAAAGTGCATAGTTCCAGTGGCTTCCTAACATTAGAAGGAAGAGCATTCCAGCTAGCTGCAGAAGTGCATCTGAAAGCGCGCGATGCAGTGGCTGTCTTTGTCCGATGGTTAGCCATTAAAAACCCAACAAATTTTATCTTGATAAATATTGATCGCGAAAGCAGACGTTAAATCACTGACCAAAAAATCAAAAAACCCTGACCCTATTTCGTCACAAGGGGGCAGCGAAGGCTGAGCACAGGTGCGACTGGTGCAGGTGCCCTGACCAGAGAGACAGAATCCCTGCTGGTGCAGGTGCCCTGACCAGAGAGACAGAATCCCAACTGGTGTAGATGTCCTTACCAGAGAGACAGAATCCCAACTGATGTAGATGCCCTTACCAGAGAGACAGAATCTCGACTGGTGTAGATGCCCTCACCAGAGAGACAGAATCCCGACTGATGTAGATGTCCTTACCAGAGAGACAGAATCCCGACTGGTGTAGATGCCCTGACCAGAGAGACAGAATCTCGACTGGTGTAGATGTCCTTACCAGAGAGACAGAATCCCGACTGATGTAGATGCCCTGACCAGAGAGACAGAATCCCGACTGATGTAGATGCCCTGACCAGAGAGACAGAATCCCAACTGGTGTAGATGCCCTGACCAGAGAGACAGAATCCCAACTGATGTAGATGTCCTTACCAGAGAGACAGAATCCCAACTGATGTAGATGCCCTGACCAGAGAGACAGAATCCCAACTGATGTAGATGCCCTGACCAGAGAGACAGAATCCCAACTGGTGCAGGTGCCCTGACCAGAGAGACAGAATCCCAACTGGAGTAGATGTCCTTACCAGAGAGACAGAATCCCAACTGATGTAGATGCCCTGACCAGAGAGACAGAATCCCAACTGGTGTAGATGCCCTTACCAGAGAGACAGAATCCCAACTGGTGCAGGTGCCCTGACCAGAGAGACAGAATCCCAACTGGTGTAGATGTCCTTACCAGAGAGACAGAATCCCAACTGGTGTAGATGCCCTTACCAGAGAGACAGAATCCCAACTGATGTAGATGCCCTGACCAGAGAGACAGAATCCCAACTGGTGTAGATGTCCTGACCAGAGAGACAGAATCCCAACTGGTGTAGATGTCCTTACCAGAGAGACAGAATCCCAACTGGAGTAGATGTCCTTACTAGAGAGACAGAATCCCGACTGATGTAGATGTCCTGACCAGAGAGACAGAATCCCAACTGGTGTAGATGTCCTTACCAGAGAGACAGAATCCCAACTGGTGCAGGTGCCCTTACCAGAGAGACAGAATCCCAACTGGTGTAGATGTCCTTACCAGAGAGACAGAATCCCAACTGATGTAGATGCCCTTACCAGAGAGACAGAATCCCAACTGATGTAGATGTCCTTACCAGAGAGACAGAATCCCAACTGGTGTAGATGCCCTGACCAGAGAGACAGAATCCCAACTGGTGTAGATGTCCTTACCAGAGAGACAGAATCCCAACTGATGTAGATGCCCTTACCAGAGAGACAGAATCCCAACTGATGTAGATGTCCTTACCAGAGAGACAGAATCCCTACTGGTGTAGATGTCCTTACCAGAGAGACAGAATCCCGACTGGTGTAGATGTCCTTACTAGAGAGACAGAATCCCAACTGGTGTAGATGTCCTTACCAGAGAGACAGAATCCCGACTGGTGCAGGTTGCGCAGGTTGGAGGCCTGGGCGGCGGCGGCGGCCGCCGTCTGTCGAGTGGGCGACGTTTTTGCCGAAGCGGCCGGGGTGGCTGTGCGCGAGGACACGGTCACCTCCTGTACGGGGCCGTCGTACAGGCCCCGGGGGACGCCCTGCAGCTCTGTAAGCTGCGGAGAGGAAGAAGGGTTCGTCTGTCGGTGGGGACTTGTTGTGGCGTGTACGTACGTACGCTGAGCTTCTTTCGCGCGGTACGCAGCCAACCGTGCTACTCCGGGGTGCCGGAAGGAAGGACGAAAAATTTAACGCAAAAAGCAGTTCTAATGATACGAGTTTTAAATCTAGATTATTTAAAAGTGCACCATCGCTCCAGTGGCTTCATAATATCAGAAGAGCATTCCAGACGGCCGCAGAAGCACACCAGAAAGCGCGCGATGCGGTGACCATCTTTGTTCGATGGCCAGCCAAAATCCGCTGCTGCGAGGATGACCAGAGTTCGAGCGATGGTGAGTTACGCTCCTTGCGGTGGCCGCTGCACGGCCAAGCGGTGTAGTGTCTGACTCTCACTCGTGGACGTAGCGAGCACTAGGAGGTGCTTGTTTCGCTTTAGGGTCAGTGCCGTTACTGTGGCGGATGCCAATCTGTTCTGACCACAACCACGAGTGGCAACCACCAGGTTTATTGCCCACAGAGGGGCAATGGGCCGAGTGGCCCTGCAAAGTGATTGAAACCCGCAACCCACGCAATCGGGATCAGTTGCAGGGGTGGGGGGGGGGGGGGGTGGTGCCCTGACACTAATCAATCCGATTCCGTTCCTGAAAACGCTCCCGGCGCGTGGAACAAAACGTCGGACGCCGTGCCGCACGCAAGCGCGTGTGCTTGCGAACCGTAGGCAACGGAGGGGACGCGGCGATGCAAACGAGGGATTGGGGGAGGGAGGCGGCACACGCACCTGGCTGCGCGCCTTGATGCGCTTGTACACCTGCTCGGGGAACGCCTTCCGCGGCACGAAGCGGCCAACGCCCTGCATGGCGTGCAGCGTGCCGTCCTCCATCACGATCTTGCCCTGGCTGATGACGGCCAGCGGAACTCCCCGCACCTCCATGCCCTCGAAGATGTTGTACTCCACCGCCTGCGAATGGGGACGCGCGTGCACGCGTTGGGCGTCAGTGCTGGGACCAACGAGCGCTCAAAACGAGACGACGGGAGGCCCCAGGCTCAAGTCCAGGCTCAAGGCGCACGTCGTTTTCCCCCCTACAATCGTCTCTTCTTGTAGTAACAAAAAAAAACACCAATGTAGTGTCCATGTTAATATATACTCGTCCTTTGTTCCCATGATGTACATGTGGTTGTAGTTAGTTGCTCTACAAAGACGCTTGCTGCTGTGTGACTGGAGGTTATTGCTAATTCCCGTGCTTGGGCTCTGAGCCACCATCACTGTGAATAAAGGCAATGAATGATGATTGACATCATAATCCAGATTCTCAAGCTTTTGGTTTCAAATCTGTCCCGGGCCTAGTATAAAATGAGTTATGACTGCACAATATCTACTCTTGAAAGAGAAATAATGACCTCCTTTTGGGTAAAAAGAGGCCTTTGGAAATTACTCCGGAAGTAGGTATGTTGTGCATTACATTCCCTGATGTCACGACTGCATACAGAAGCAGTTAACAGATGGATAATTTGTTTGACTCGCGATCATAGCGCAGTGAGACAAAACTGCAGTGAACATTGGTTCCGTCTATCACCGTGATCATCATCCCACTGGGGCTGCTAAAATTACCACTCCTCTCAAGGCAAGTTTGCACACTGAGTGAGAAGAGAGTGGTGGTCAAAAATGAACGAGGGGCTGGATCTCATTATAGGATCGTGGAATAGGAAATTTCGGCTCCAGACCCTCAAGATGGCTGAGCATCAACCATAGCTCCCGAGAGCACAGGGATGCCTGCCATACTGCACTACTGTTCAACTTTACCTTTGCAGTTTGTATAATTACCATTAAAAAAAACAATCCATCCAAACGAGATTGCTGAAATCAAAAGTAATGCATTCCAAAGTTGGTCAACTCTGCCCATCTGACCCTCCAGCGCCAACCAAGCTTGCACCACTTCATGCAAACTCATCATCAATTGTCCTGTGATGAGACCGGCCACTACGATGGCATGACAGATGGAACACTCTTGCTGCTGTCCCAACAACACGGATGAACACCTCCCCTCGCTCATTTAGGCGGGGTGATGCCTTAACCCGATTCTGAATAAAAATCGAATTCTTGCAAAACCGTGACTACGACGACGACGGGAGCGAGCATTTGGACGCGCGGCTTCACCTGGTGGTGAGTCTTGGCAGAGATGGTCTTCACCACGTCCGGGTCCCATATGATGAGGTCTGCATCGGAGCCCACTGCGATGCGCCCCTTGCGGGGGTACAGGTTAAACACTTTGGCTGCGTTGGTGCTGGTCACTGCGACGAACTGGTTTTCGTCCATCTTCCCGGTGGCCTGGGGCGACAGGACGCAGGGGAACGTGCGGCGATGCTCGTGAGCCGTCAACGTGAACCGCACCAAGCAACCGGCATCAACACAACTGCTCCGGCTACCGATGTGGGGCCACACGCAGAGCCACTGATGGGGCTGCTGATAGAACCACAATCAGAGCTGCTGGTAGGATGTATGTATGTTGAAATGATTTCGCACTGTACGTAGTCAATCGTGCTCACTGGAGGTGCAATTGCTTGGCCCAGGTTCAAATAGGGCCCAGGAGAAGATCCAAAATACCAAGCGGCCAGCAGAATTTACTTCCTATGACAATGCCTTATTTCATGTTGGCTACAGGGTTGCCACCTCTCCTAGTTTTCCCAGGATCGTCCTCCTTTTGAGGTAGCAATAATGGGGAATGTTTAAGTCTTCAACGGACATTAAAAAGTGCCGTAGTAATATACCACTCAAGACAATGCATTTAAATGTAGTTATTTGCATCTTCTGCTATTGTGAGAGATTCTTCTTCCTATGACATGTTCCGAGTTAACAGTGAAGTAGCAGTAGCCCACAGCTCCAGTCTAGGGAGAGAATTAAAGTCTGACTAGAGCTTTACAGTACAAGTAATGCATGCCCATTATTTGATAAATGGGTTGTGATAGCGGTGCCTTAATCAAAGCTTCCTCTACGAGAAGGTAACATTGAAACCGCAGTAGGTTCCCAGGAAAAAAAAAAACTGTTCTAGATGATATCACAGAACTGCTTTGAGTCTTGCGACTCAAACTCGGAGGTCATCGAAATGATAGGTTTGGAATCCAAAGCGAAGACCTTAGCAGTGACGGTTAAAGTTCAAGTTAACAAGGCATGCTGCGAGACGGCTGTCATCATCAAATTCAGTTCTATGATTCAGTTGCTTAAAAAGCAATGCCAAACGACACACGGTACTAACCAAAAACATTCGACGTAGAGGGCTCATGAGCTTCTCTCCACAAGCACTTTCTCCGGCCTATACCTCCGCACAGGGCTGTAAGCGTGTATGCATGTCCTCCCCGTGGTCGGGTGGGTTTTTATCCAGGGCTTCTGGATTTTCTCTCCACATTTAGAATCGACGTGTATTTGTTTGCTAGAAATTTCCACGTGAGCCATTTGCGGGCCAGGTCGCTTCTGAAAAAGAGCTGCATCGCTCAGTTTGGCCTCACTTTGTTAAACAAAATGTTTAGAAATGGTTTAATGTTGAACTTCTTTCGCACCGTACATAGTCAAACCGCGCTAATCGGAGGTGCGTGGCTGGCGTTTGGCGTTAACGCCGAGCGGTGAGTGTGTGTGTGTGCGCGCGAGCGAGCGCTTGTGCCGCGTTGTTCAGGGACCGCACCACGCCCTTGTCCCACACGATGCTCATGCGCTCCTCGATGCCGTTGGTGCCCTCGGGGATGAGCGTGAAGTCGTCCTTGCCCAGAGCCTTCTGCGCGGTGCTGAACGTGCAGTGAGCGCTGCCCGTCACGTGCAGGTCCCCGCTGATGCGATGATGGTGAATGATTATGGTGGTTATAATGGCGCAGGGTAGAGAGGAAGGGCAGGGAGAGAGAGAGAGAGAGAGCCGGTTTACGTCTTTACTGCACGGACACAAATGGGGATGCATGGAATCTTAAATCAACGTACACTCCTTGTCTCTGCCTAGCTCTGTATTGTTGCCTCCATCTGTCTGCCTCTATGAAATGTACACTTTGTAATTGTTACAACTCTTAATGCACACTCGTGGTATACCAAATCCACCACTACCCCACCGGGTGATCCGATGACTTGTCATGATTCAGTATCAATACTTTCTTGTGCTGACCTGATAGGCGTGATTGGACTGTTTCTTCTTTTGTGCTCGGTCTCGTTTGCGCATGTTTTATTCGTTTAATTCCCCTAAATGTAGCATAATCATATCTTACACACGCGATTCAATTTGCATGTGTCTTAGCCTGAGCAATCAACATCATTAAATGAATCGATGCACCCTTACACCCCGAGTGTACACACCCTGGTGAGCGTGTACACACACCTCAGCGGGCGTGTACACACACCTCAGCGGGCGTGTACACACGCCTCAGCGGGCGTGTACACACGCCTCAGCGGGCGTGTACACACGCCTCAGCGGGCGTGTACACACGCCTCAGTGGGCGTGTACACACACCTCAGCGGGCGTGTACACACACCTCAGCGGGCGTGTACACACACCTCAGCGGGCGTGTACACAGCGGGCGTGTACACACACCTCAGTGGGCGTGTACACACGCCTCAGCGGGCGTGTACACACGCCTCAGCGGGCGTGTACACACGCCTCAGTGGGCGTGTACACACACCTCAGCGGGCGTGTACACACACCTCAGCGGGCGTGTACACACACCTCAGTGGGCGTGTACACACACCTCAGTGGGCGTGTACACACGCCTCAGTGGGCGTGTACACACAACCTCAGAACGGCTCTTTCCAGTGAATCAGTCTGGAGAAGCAGTGAGCCTCTTCTGCCTCAGGAATACTGCACTATGCCTCCGCCGTCAAAGAGCACGTTCACGATACAGTACACACAAACACGATACAGTACACACAAACACGATACAGTACACACAAACACGATACAGTACACACAAACACGATACAGTACACACAAACACGATACAGTACACACAAACACGATACAGTACACACAAACACGATACAGTACACACAAACACGATACAGTACACACAAACACGATACAGTACACACAAACACGATACAGTACACACAAACACGATACAGTACACACAAACACGATACAGTACACACAAACACGATACAGTACACACAAACACGATACAGTACGCACAAACACGATACAGTACACACAAACACGATACAGTACGCACAAACACGATACAGTACACACAAACACGATACAGTACACACAAACACGATACAGTACACACAAACACGATACAGTACACACAAACACGATACAGTACACACAAACACGATACAGTACACACAAACACGATACAGTACACAAACACGATACAGTACACACAAACACGATACAGTACACACAAACACGATACAGTACACACAAACACGATACAGTACACACAAACACGATACAGTACACACAAACACGATACAGTACACACAAACACGATACAGTACACACAAACACGATACAGTACACAAACACGATACAGTACACACAAACACGATACAGTACACACAAACACGATACAGTACACACAAACACGATACAGTACACACAAACACGATACAGTACACACAAACACGATACAGTACACAAACACGATACAGTACACACAAACACGATACAGTACACACAAACACGATACAGTACACACAAACACGATACAGTACACACAAACACGATACAGTACACACAAACACGATACAGTACACACAAACACGATACAGTACACACAAACACGATACAGTACACACAAACACGATACAGTACACACAAACACGATACAGTACACACAAACACGATACAGTACACACAAACACGATACAGTACACAATCACGGCAGCAGTGCAAAATAGAGAAAATGGTAAGCAAGTTACTAAATGTAAATAAATACATTCATTATTCATAATAAAGGTTTATCAAGCTTGGGCAAGGCAACAACAAAAACAGTCCCAGACCACACCAAGATAACACAGAGTAGTAGTCCCTCAATACAATGGCACATTAACACATTCCTGCGGAGGGAGCTGGTAGGAACGTTGGGTTGCTCAGTCAATGGCCAGGGTCAACAATGGCGGTACCACGTGGTGTATTCCACAAATTTGCCGGACTGTGAGGGCGGACACAAGCCAGCTTGAGTAGGTTAAACGTTGAGTTTTATAAGGGCACCACGGGGTGACCAGCCCCTCCCCACCCAGCCCCACCCCTCCTACCCCCCACCCAGCCCCACCCTCCTCACCCAGCCCCTCCCCACCCTCCCCACCCAGCCCCTCTCCACCCTCCCCACCCAGCCCCTCCCCACCCTCCCCTCTCCACCCAGCCCCACTCCTCCCATTTTATCCAGGTGTCCGGATACACGTGGACAGACATCCAGACATACACAATTAATCCCCTGCCTCCTGTGATAATCCCGGTTGGGCTTCCAGTCCACTACGTTTCTTACCAGTGATGCCCACTAGGAGCGCATTTGTTATATATCCGGGTGTCCGGATACACGTGAACAGACATCCACAGACATACACAATTAATCCCCTGCCTCCTGTGATAATCCCGGTTGGGCTTCCAGTCCACTACGTTTCCTACCAGTAACATTGAATTGTAAATCTTGTGGGTTTACTCTCTAACACACCGGTGTGCTGTACTAGTAACGAATTGACACCTTTTTTTTTTACGTGACAAACTTTACCAATTGGCCGTGTAAAGTTTAACAACACGTTTATATTTACGCGATCAAACCTAAAATCCCCCCCCCCCCCACCCCCATCTATTATGTATAATATAGAACTATCATTAACACTGAATTTGTTCATGCCCTTCAATTGCCTCACGCAAAGGAGCGCCTCACCATGCGAGCATGGAGTTGAGGTACTCGGGCGTGGAGGGGTCGGGGCTGATGGGTGGCGACGTGACGAACGCCGCCGCCTTGGCCCAGTTCTTGCTCCAGTAGTGCGAGCCCTCTGTGCCCAGGCTGGCCGTGATGGGCTCGCCGTACACCACCGTGCCTGCCGGGGGACGAGCCGGGGACGTCATCATCGATCAACGCGATACCCGGGAGGCCGCGCTGGTGATGACGGTGACAACGATGGGTGGCCGAGCGAACGAGCGAGAGGTCAGAGAACACATTCTCCTGCGGAGGGAGGGAGCTGGTAGGAACGTTGGGGTTGGCTCGGTCAATGGCCAGGGTCAACAATGGCGGCACCACGTGGTGGTGTATTCCGCACAATATGCCCGACTGTGAGGGCGGGCACAAGCCGGCGTGAGTAGGTTAAACGTTGAGTTTTATAAGGGCACCACGGGGTGACCAGCCCCTCCCCACCCAGCCCCACCCCTCCCACCCCCCACCCAGCCCCACCCTCCCCACCCAGCCCCTCCCCACCCTCCCCTCCCCACCCAACCCCTCCCCACCCTCCCCACCCAGCCCCTCCCTACCCACCCTCCCCTCCCCACCCAGCCCCTCCCCACCCTCCCCTCTCCACCCAGCCCCACCCCTCCGATTTTTGGATGCACGACGGACGGACGGACACAATAATCCCCTGTGGGCTGGTGGTGTAACCAGGAGGTTCCTACCAGTAATATTAACCTCTCTAGGACCTTATGCAAGAAAAGGTCGGAAGTTGTTAAGGTGGCACCTCAATCGCTAAGAGAGCCATGAAATGTATGCGTGTTGAACTTCTTCCGCACTGTACGTAGCCAACCGTTCTAATCGGAGGTGCGGGGAAGGACAACAAAACCAAACACAAAAAGCAAGTTCTAAAGAAATGAGTTTTCAATGTAGATTTAATTAAAGTGGATATTGGGCTCGCAGCACTTACATCATCATTAGCAGCAGCCAAGATCAATCCTCTCCAAGCTGTTGTCTCACGATCCTGCGATGTAATAATCCTGCGATGTAATAATCCTGCGATGTAATAATCCTGCGATGTAATAATCCTGCGATGTAATAATCCTGCGATGTAATAATCGCGCGATGTAATAATCCTGCGATGTAATAATCCTGCGATGTAATAATCCACCAAGCGCATCCAAACGAGCCGACTTCATCGCTCCATCTCCCTGGTGGGGGGTGCCCTCAGACAGCATTCCATTCCTTGGTTGCCATTCTATCGCCATCCTTGATTTATTGGCCCTCATCCCTGCTAGCCACATGTCCAGCCCAAAGCCAACTCACTATCGAGCACTGACGGCTTGCGAGCAGATTTACAATCATATTTAAGTATCCAGGATCTCATTACTGGCCCACAAGGGCACTTAATTGTGTTAGTCTCATGGCCAAATGGCCATGTGCTACACATAAATGCATGACTAATAGCTGCACCATTGGATACAACAGGAGAGTGTTCTCGTAAAAATCTTAACCATAGCTTAAGAGATATGCTCTGTGTAAATATAAAAGGGCTTCATTATTGATGTATTGTACAGCACATGTGACCAATAAACTACAGGTTTCAGATAGTATTTAATTTCACTGTAAAACATCACTCGACTCAATCATCACTAACTGCTTTATCTGATTTTGGAATAATAATTAGGCTGAACTCATATATATAACATCTATCACACGGAATTAAACGCATTGATTAAAACATTATTCACAATGGTTTATCATTCCCATCCCCATACCAAGCGAATCATAAAGGCTGTTTGACCAATAATTAATCAGTATAAGTTGGCCAGGTCTGGTTCAGATATTGCTCAGACAGCACTTACATACGCACAGGGAAATAAAAAATGTCTTTGGTGAGAAGAAAAAAATTGGGTCACCCCACATTGGAAGTTGAAAATGAGGTAAAAGTTATAAAAACAATTATACTTTACAATACCCGATGAAAAATATTTTGTTTAACACGTAGGCTTTCACGACCAATATTATTCATAATAAAGGTTTTTGGGTTAGATCGCGTTATTTATAAATGTGTCGTAACCCTCCACCACCCGACACGGCCAATCAGCAAAAAAAGTGTCACGTTGACAAAAGACAAATAGTTCACTACTTTAGCCCACCGGTGTGTTGAAGAGTGAATCCACAACATTTACAGTTTGTGCTGATTGGCCGTGTCGGGTGGTGGAGGGTTGCGACACATAAATAACGCGATCTAACCCAAAAACCTATATTATGAAAAATATTTTGATCGCAATATACTGCCCTCGCAGCCTATAACACCTGAGGTGGTGGTCACACATCCAAGGACTGTTCGGGCTCAGTCCCGCTTAGCTTGTGAGATCAGGTGAGATCGGGTGCATTCACGGTGATTTGGTCGCAGGCCTAGCTGGTGGGCAGCTGATGACTTCCCACCAGGTACCGGCTCTCCGCCTACACCATCCGGCACTGACCAGCCTGGTGAAGTGTGGTGAAATAACTCGCATGACCCGCAAGCCGTGGCGAGGCCCTCATCCACCAGTGGACTGACAAAATGGCCGTGCGGACGTACAAGTAATCTATTTACAACAAAGGAATGTTCAGGTGATGACGACGACGACGACGTAGATGATCTTACCCTTCTTCCTGGACAGGGCGATTACATCGGCTGCGCTGCGGCTCATGACCTTGGTAATGTAGAGGGGGCAGTTGGTTTGGTTGCCAATGGTGATGGCCCGGTTCACCGCCTCCGCCTCAACCTGCGCAGAATACGTGAACCGCACCCAGCAACCGGCATCAACACAACTTCTCCGGCTACCGATGGGGCCACACACGCACAGAGAGCCACTGATGGGGACTGCTGATCGAAGAGATGCTGATAGGATGTGTGTATACTATGTTGAACTTCTTTCGCACAGTACGGAGCCAAAACGTGCTAATCGAAGGCGACTGCTGTTAGATGTCACAAATTGAGCCGCGGATACGAATGCGTTCCAATTGTGTACGACACGATGGGCAGCGGAGGACAGTGCAGCACTTCTATGCCCCTCCATCTGTGCTTCCCGCCTTCACCGAGCCGCACTGACCAGAGTGGTCAAGTATGGTCAAACAACTCCCACGACCGGCACGGTGTGGGGAGTCCTTCATCCTGTAGTGGATTTAATGGGCTGTATATACACATGTAGCTACTGTAATAATATAATTACACATTTAGCATCGTCGATTCATCGATTATGCTGAATTATTACCATCATGATACAAGCCTAAGATTACGTCCGACAATAAATGATTTAAGGGCTATGTTAAACATATGCTGATGTTGTCTTTGGGCCAATGGAATGAACACGACAGAACAAAGAAGGTGAAACACATTTTTGGGATGTGTTTTCGATTTTCGGGTGAAATAAAATAAAATATTAAAATTGGATGACGTGAAAAAAAGTTTCAGTTTGATCTGAAAGTGTGACATCACTTATATGACATCACTTCCTTCATTTCCTACCAAAAGCGGTTGCCCTGTGGAGATGTCACCTTTGATAGCGTGAAGATACGTTCAATAACTACACCATGTAAAAGGATCCAAAAATCCAATAAGAGATATAAAATAGTGCTTCAAAAAAACTAAATCTGAAACCCATTCCCTATATACATTGCATACCTCTAATATATTAGAACATAATAAAAAGACGATACAAATCAGATTGTCCAAATTAGACAAAAAGATTAGATAATTATCGAACCCATACCTGACAACCCACACGGTTTATACCCCGTATTGTTGTACAGGGAAATTTAGTTTACAGGTCCATACGGCACACAGCCGTTTCAGTAGGGCAATTGTTTTTGTATAATTGTTTGTGTTTCTCCCTTGTGATGGGATTTAAAAGGGCACGGGGTGACCAATAAGGTCTGAATTGGTCTGTAATAAGGTAGGGCATTGATAAGGGGTATGCGAACCATAACACCAAATCTTGACGATTCATTGCATTGGTTATGGGCGAGACTATGGTGGTAGCGGTGTGAATAGTACAACTGATGCCACTCGCATTACTCCTGTTACTATAAAAGCTAACATAACTACTTTTACTCATGCTACAATTACTAATAGTGCTATTATTCCGATTGCTACGTAAATTGTTATCAATTATAATGCTGCTGCCACATGAACGTAGGGAGGGGCAGATTCTGTGCACCTCCTCAGGCCGGCTCAGGACGTGGCCTTCAGGTCCAGTGATTTGCAGACCCAGGATCCTCTTTTGTTCCTGTTGGTGATGGATGAGAGGGTGAGAAACAGCCCTATTACAAAGGATACTGGTCAAGTTTCCAGACAGCACAGTCAATAAATCGAAACTATAATATAAACAAAAGAACAGGATGGGCAGTCACTAACATTATCTATTCAGGCTTAAAGATACAAAACCTGCACAACATCATGGTAAGTACCCATCATGCCCTGCAAGCTCCACCACAGTAAATGAGTTTATAGCAGATTTATTCGGCTGATAGCATCAATTAAATCAAGGATGAAAAATAATGCACATGCATGGTTTTTGTGATGTTTTACAACATGTGTTGGTCCTTGGACCATTTAATTAGTGACAAAGTTTACCCTCTGAGCTGCACACAACAATGATGTCAGAGTGAAAGAAAAACTATCGCGTCAACAAAGAACCCAGGATGGACTATCACGCGTGTCATCTAGCCTGCATGGCATGATGGGAAGCACAGTAAAACCTCGTTATTTCGGTATTTGATCATTCGTAATTGTGGATAATGCGGTATGGCCGCGCCTTCGGCATATACGCTATGTTAGTAACTCGCCACGAGCCGAATTGCCCTACCGAATGGTCCAATTTCAGCATAGCACGTGGAGCGATGCCGTGCTCCACGACCAAAACAACGACTCGGTCTGGTGGTGGCGCACGCGATGAGCGTTAGTGCGGACCCGTCGCTGTGGACTTGACCTTGTTTGTGCACTCTGTGCAAGCCAACCCTCTCAGCAATGTCGTCTACATTTCTGACTTCGTTAAACCCACTCAGGCATAAGCAACGTTCTAGCAGCAATGAAGCCACCAGTGGAGTGCCACCAGTCTCTGGATATTCTTCCACAGGCACCGCTGTCAGCAGTGAAGTGCCACGTCAGCTGATGTCGTCTGACAGCGAGTAATGTGGTGCAAAAGTGTAATACAATGTAGTCTTTAAATAAACATTAATTGTTAAGTGAAAAATGTGAAGTTTAAATGAGTGTAATTTGGTGTTTAAGTTATAATTGAGTGATAAAGTGAACAGAGTGCATACTAAGTGCATTAAGCTCCCCTCCACAAGCTCTGTCACCTACCACATAGAACCTACCGCATCCTCCTCCTTTGCCTGCAGTGCTGGTTACTGATGGTAAGCGTTATTCTTTTGGGAAAATCTATTTTGGAAAACAAATTTGGATAACTTTTTTTTTTATTGGGGCAGGATGCACTGGGGAGTACCGTTGTAAATAATTCGCAATTTTGGATAATTCGGCAAGACCAGAGCCCCATATGTGTCGAATTAACAAGGGTTTACTGTACCCACGAGATCTTGCGAGCCCCACCTTTGTGCGTGTGAGTTTACAGCAGCCTTATTCAGCTGTGCTCGAAGCATGGTGACTGTATCTTCTTTGAGGCTTTTGCCACCACACAACCTCACTGAGGGCGTATTTAAAAGTTGATATAGCAGTGTGCAGTGTACAAATATTAGGAAGCCACTGGGGCTATGCACTTTTAAATCTAGCTTGAAAACTAATTTCCTGTGAACTACTCTTTGTGTTTACTTTATTGTCCTTCCCCCCACACCTCCGATTAGCACGGTTGCCAATGTACGGCGCGAAAAGAAGTTCAACATACGTACACACATACAGAAAGCGGAAGGCCCCAAGTGCCTTTCCACACTTGCAGGTTCTCGTGGTGAGAAGAAGATCTGGGGTGCATACCCGCATATCGCTCAGAGTCGGTCACTCACCTCTGCGATGATGCTTCCATTCTCCGCATGCACCAAGGCAATGGCACCGAGGTCGCGGATGGCCGTGAAGGCTTCGTAAATCTATAGGGGGGTGAAGGCACGTGGTTTAAAATCTATAGGGGTAAAGCTATAGGGGGTGAAGGTGTGTGTGGGTTTAAAATCTATCGGGGTAAATCTATAGGGGGGTGAAGGCACGTGGTTTGAAATCTATAGGGGTAAAGCTATAGGGGGTGAAGGCATGTGTGGGTTTAAAATCGATGGGGGTAAAGTTATAGGGGGGCGAAGGTACGTGGTTTAAAATCTATAGGGGTAAAGCTATAGGGGGTGAAGGTGTGTGTGGGTTTAAAATCTATTGGGGTAAATCTATAGGAGGTGAAGGCGTGTGTGGGTTTAAAATCGATAGGGGTAAAGTTATAGGGGGGCGAAGGTACGTGGTTTAAAATCTATAGGGGTAAATCTATAGGGGGCAAAGGCACGTGGTTTAAAATCGATAGGGGTAAAGTTATAGGGGGGCGAAGGCGTGCGTGGGTTTAAAATTGGCTTAATCGGCGAAACCGGTTTGTAACGACGCTTTAAACAGGTATTATTTTTTGTTTGTTTGTTAACGACTTGTTGAGTAAAATATTATCACAAATTAAAATGCAGAATCAAATAGTGACAGGTACTTTTTAAAGGAATTCTGAGTGAAATTAGAGGTCACAATTCACTGCTTAAAGTCTCATCTCTTTTTTTCGAGAAAAAATAAAAAAAATTTTAGGGAATTAACAATAATAACCTAAACGTACATCTGAGCAATTGTAAGTATATAGTTTTACAACTGAAGTTGTCCACACAGCATGAATGTTTAAAAAAAAGCTAGGCTGTAATAGTAATATGATATTAATAGTCACTATCTACTTTAATCGCGTATAATTAATCAATTGTTAACACTTTTATCGACATTCAATTTCATCAGCTATAAATCCAGTGAAAATCATAATCTCTCTTTTTCCAAAGGAGCAACAGATTCACTTGGGATAAAATAGCGAGGACGTTTTTAGCGACGTTAATTTTATCTCATCTTTGCCTCTAAACGTCTACCGTGAGGGACATCCTGGCAGGCTGTGCACGGGCGCACTAAAGCACCGAGCGTGAATGCACCTGCAGTTGTCTTTGTCGAGCAGGGCGTGTTTGTACGCCTTTGCGTGCGCCTGCAAGTGTGGGTGAATTGATGCCCGTACCGCCACGCTCGTGGCGTGTACGGCGGTACGGGCATCAATTCACCCTCCACATCCCTCCCGTCTCCCGCCCGATTCGTCGAATCGTGACGATTTGGGGTTGTGAACGCAGATTTAAGAATATATTCTTAAATATATATATTTCTATGTTTAACACGTAGGCTTTCACGACCAATATTATTCATAATAAAGGTTTTCTGGAGGATTTTTTTTCGGATTTAACAATAATAATAATCCGCAACATTTACTCTCCAACACACCGGTGGGCTGAAGTAGTAGCTAATTGGCACGGTTTGTTTACGGGACAAACCTTACTGGCTGTGTCGGGTGGTGGAGGGTTACAAGACATTCATACTTACGCGATCTAACCCAAAAGCCTTTATTAAGGATACATTCGTATACACGTTACGTATTTTGTGAGATGCTGTTTTTAGTTAAATGCACAAATTGTATTGGCGGCGGAGGCTCAGTAAGTCATTTCTTTAACTGACCTGAAATTAATGAACACCCCGAAAAGTAAATTACCTCGGCATCGGTCAGCTGGTACTTGTCCTTGTAAGCCATGTACACGAGGAACGAGTTGACACCTTGAAAGAGGACGTATCAACATTCAGCTTCCATCACCCCGAGTGAGGTGATTCATCTTGTCCTGAAGCCCAAAACCTATACGCTTCACAACGCTTGGCTTATAGCAGTGGGGTTACCAAGTTCACTCACCTGGCAATGTTAAAGTACAGTAAACCCTCTCTGTATACGCGAGGGTTACGATCTTTGAAAACGCTCACGAATGAAGAATTCAAGAATGCAGAAACCGTGTTCCAATGGTAAAATTGTGCTCACGTTCCCGGTACGAGCGAACATAGGGGGAAAATGGTAATTGTTTAATCATAATGATAACAATAATAAAATATAAATAACGATGTTATTTTAAATATCACCTTTGATGATGATTATGATGATGATTTGATGATGATTTGATGATGGTGGTGGTGGTGGTGATGACTTTTTAATTTTTGCACTCTGGGGAAGCATTGGCCACAACACTTTCCCTGATTGCATTCGCGTTCTTTTTAACGGACCTCACAGTCGACATTTTAAATACCAACATGTATACACGAGTTGGCTGCGAGTATGCATCAAGTCAAAAAATTGCACAATAGCCAGTTCAGAGCGTGAATCACTGCGAGACTGAGAGCACAGCGGGCAGCCGAGACCGTTTCAATCAAATATTAAATTCTGCACACAACTTCCCAGTGACGGTCGTCTGGCACTGCGCACACTCGCGGACACTGCAGTCTGGCAGGTCGTGAATTGGGAATTAGGATCCACTTTCGTGACTCGCGAACTTGCAAATCTCGCGACTCCAGAACTCGCGCCACAGCAATGGTTTACTGCGTTTCAATCACCACGTGACCTCAAGCCATTCCCTTCACTGGCACGTCTCTCGTCTCCCTTACCAAGGACACGTGCAGACAGCACTACTCGCATTGTAAATATGTTAACGTAGTGGACCTTGGCTGTCTTATCACTTTATGTGAATTTACGACCGAGTTTTTTTTTATTTTACCAGGTAAGGCCCGCTGAGCTATGTAGCTCTTTTTCAGAAGCGACCTGGCCATCACAAATGATTGCTAAACGAAGTGGATCATCACATAAACATGTATAGCAGCCAACGACTCTAAACTGCATGTTTAAAAATGTGTCGGGAAAAAACGGAGGATCCGGACAAACATCAAAATGACCACGGGGAGAACATGCAAATTCCAAATGTACAGGCGTCAGGTTCGAGATAGAACCTATGACCTCCTGTATACCAGACGAGGTAGTCAACATCCCGCCTTGGTGATATAGGCGCCCCTATATCACCAAGGCCAATGGATACGGCCATTCTCTTCGCAAGGCCCCTTGAATTGCGGCTCAAAATAATTGTATTTCTGAAAGCCAGCGTGTTGCCGTGAAGAAGACCATCTCTGTCAGAAGGAACACAATAGGTGCAATACAAGAGCTTTAAGGGCTGTAGATAAGGTTACTGTTCACACGTGCCTGCACTAATTCGCATCAAAATACCATATTTGTCACATCCTCAATAATTTGGCTTTTCCAGCGTGTAACGCAGTATTTCATTAATTAGATTCTTCAGTGCTTAGGCACCGCATCTTATACGCTCACGGCAGACTTGCTAAATCAGCGAGATGCCTCATCGCTCTCGTACACACAAGAACGGACAAATGAGCTCACGGTGCTCTCTGCTGCACATGGGAAAGTGCGAACGAGCAAAACACAAATCTGGGGGGAGTGAGGTCGCCACGACTATCAGCTGCCACTGTGCATGCGGCCTACTCAGCACACTTTCAGCGAGTGCACAGGAGGGATATTGCCTTCCCGTGCCATTATAATAAAAACAAGTATCATTATTATTACAATGCATATTGTTTCCATCTCCCGATTTTTATCTACACGGCAATTCCTTGATTAACGCGGTAGATGCGTTCTTGAAAATGTGCGCGTTAAGCACCATGAGAAATAATGGAAAAATAAAGTTTGGCGAGTTTGGAAAGATACAATGTACTCACACACAGTGAGGTGCGGGGGACAAAGAACTGAGATGAGGGTACGTCGCCACGTACCGTATCATTGCGCGCGTGTGCCCAGAATTCCCACACCACTCGGTCGCTGCGCCGCTCAAGAAAGTAATTCATCGTCGACCACTCAGAAACTGCATCATAATGGTGCGCTATCCACGTTATAACGTGGTGTGTGTTCCACTTTATAATGTGGTGCGTATACCACGTTATAACGGTGTGCGTACCACGTTATAATGCTGCACGTTCCACGTTATAACGGTGCGGGTTCCCCGTTATAACGGTGCGGGTTCCACGTTATAACGGTGCGCGATTCACGTTATAACGGTGAGCGTTTCACGTTATAACGGTGTACATTCCCCGTTATAACGGTGCGCGTTCCACGTTATAACGGTGCGGGTTCCCGTTATAACGGTGTAAATTCCCCGTTATAACGGTGCGGGTTCCCGTTATAACGGTGTACATTCCCCATTATAACGGTGCGGGTTCCACGTTATAACAGTGTACGTTCCACGTTATAACGGTGTGCATTCCACGTTATAATGGTGCGTGTTCCAATTTGCGTGAAAAGTGTTCCCCAAGCGAGAATTTACCGATCTGTACTTGAAAAATATTACAATTGCATGGGAACCATTTTGGAGAAGAGTTATCATGGGAGCCCATGTCAAGTTGCCAAGAGGGCCCATGAGGGATATTTAAATTGACAGGGCAAAGATTTATTTCATCCTCCCCTGCCTAAAAGATGTGGGAGGAGGGAGCGGTAGCTGCCCTCCCTGCCCGTTATGTTCCGATGTTTATGCCTTTCAATAACAGTAAAAAAGAAATTACTTGCAGTGCTTTATATAAGGTTACATTATGTAAAATGTGTCATCATGAATAGATCACACGCATAGATATGAACAACCTCACACACACGTGCATGCAAATGAGAAGCCCCCTTTTGACATGGGAGCAAGTGCTGTTGGCGAGTAATTATTAAGTCCAACACATAGCCTTGAGAGACTTACACCTGCACAGACATAAGTGCGGATGAAACAACAACAACAACCACCGTTCGCTACGAAGTGGTGGTGACATTACCACGGTGCTTGTGCCGGGCTAGGTGCACCTTGAGGCCACGTGAATTGTCGAACAATTGTGGATGCACACGCACAAACGCATACATACACTGTATATATTTTGTTTATCATAAGGTAGAGTTAAATGCATTCCTGTGTGTAAAGCTGTTTCAGTCTGTGCACGTATACCACTGCCAGCTTAGCCCTAAATGTGTATGGCGACATCTCAACGGCATGCTGCGTGGTGGACATTGCTGGTGTTGGCCAAGTCAACACGCACAAAGGGATGGGCCAGATGTTTGCTGTCCTTCCCCGGCACCTCCGATTAGCACGGTTGGCTACGTACGGTGCGAAAGAAGTTCAGCAGACAAACACGCAGATGTAGACAGAACGCCACAGAGAGAGATAGAGAGAGACAGAGGGAGACGGCCAGTCAAGAGAGACAGAGAAAGGCAGCCACCTTTATCCTTGATGAGCGTTTCCATCTCGGAGCAGAGCTCACTGTTCCAATAGGTGAGCTGCACGTGCAGCGAGTAGTCGCAGCACGCCTTGGCATCGGCCCACTCGCGCCACTGTTCGTAGGCGCCCAGCAGACTGCAGCCGGGCTCCGGGATCACGTGGTCAACTGGGAATAGAGGGCACGGGCACATGCGTGGGGGTTATCAACGTTCCACGTTGTTTCACTTATACCAGGCGAGAACTCCAGAGACCAGCGTCCAGTTTGTAAGAGTGACCCTGTGGGCATTCGTCGGGGAGGCGGGGGGGGGGGGCGGTGGGAGGGAATGCTGTGGGTCTAATCCTAATTGAGTCATTTGTGGGTGATTTATTTTTATCTGGCTAATTTGAGGCAAGTGAATGCTCTGGATGATGATGATGATGGGGGAGTGGTGGCACAATAGTTGGTTCTCCGCGCGATGAACCAGGGGAGACCTGAGTCCGATTCCCGGCCGTGACCGACATCAGTGACGAGTGATATATGCGCAGTTTCTGGGACACCCCAACGAATCACTCTTAACCAATTTACACTGACAAGGGAGATGAAGTATGTTGAAACAACCCCCATAACTTAAATAGTTCAGTGAGGTTCTCATCCAGCAGTAGACCGGGAAAGGTCTGCAAATTATCGTTATGCTTAAAACATATCGCGAATACACCACTGACCTGATGCCTGGGTTCATAGAGCACATAGTTTGCGAACCACTTCGAAAACTCCCCAAGCCTTGCTGCATGTAAGTATATGTAGAGTGTAAACGTAACCGTAAACGTAATATGCTCATGTATTTTTATATAGACTGTGCTCATAACAATGCATTTACACACTCACACTGCACGTGAGCCTGTTGCATACGTGTGTATATGCACACTTCAAACATACACATTAAACATTTCCCACAAACTGGTATTAAGAAGACAAAGCGCTTTGTTATTTTTCCATAACCTGCGAGAAAACCAAAATATTTGCACAGGCCGGGATACCCACAATAATATTTCCCTTTCTTTGTGAAACCTTAATTGCACTGCATTCTTGGCAACTTTTTTTTTTAAATAGCCATCCAGTAATTGAATTATTGAAAAAAACATAGTCTTGATTTTATCATGGAGCCTACAACATGATGCAGAATCCAAGCTAAACGTTGATTGAAATGTTTAAAGGGTAATGCACTCTTTTTTTTAAGTATTCTTGACATCGGGTTGTTTGTGCCTATCACCGTACTGGTTAGTGAGGGGCTGGTGAAAGGGGGAATGCCTGGGCCAGTTTTAAAGATCTCACTCACCACCGATGTTAGCCATGGCCAGGAAATCGAACTTAGGTCACCTGATTCCTAGAGAATTGGGGCGCAAACCACTGTGCTGCAAATCCACCCCCTGTGTCATGAGAGCAAGTAACCATCCTGGAACTCCAACGGTATCCACAGCGTGGCTTGTGCATCACGTCAGAATGACGTCTGGAGTCACTTAAATGAGCCCTGCCCTACACAACGCCAGATGTGCACGTACCAGTGTACGTCGCTTGTTCAATGCGTCGCTTTTCGAGGGCCTCCTCTCTAGGTCATGTTGGTCACGGAGGTTGTTTGACCATAGTTGAAGACGCTCGTCAGTGCGGGTTCGTGAAGAAGAAGAAGACGAAAGGGAGACCGTGACTGGTTCGTATATATGTTAGCCGTGGCCTGGAATCGAACTCAGGTGTCCGGATTTATATAGCAGGGTGTGTGAACCACTGCGTCAACGCTCTCCACACATTGGGACATGCTTTATACGAATATTAAAAGTGTAAAATGAACATGTATAGCATATGCTCATACACTGCATTTGGAATGAGTCTGTTCATACATAAATACTGTACTTCAGACATACACGTTAAACATTTCCTTGCACTGTTATAGACGTGGGACCCCAGTACAGTACAACAATAGATTGTGCTGCACTGTCCTCTGCTGGCGACATATCCCCGCAGCAGCAGCCCACACCATTTGCTTTATTCCCAGGTGAGTCGCCCATCCATGCCCGAGCCAGGCTCAAAACCAGCTTAGCTTTCGAGATTCGATTTGGTCATATGCTACATTAAATGGATATTCTTTACACTCTGTAAAGGGCGGTTTGTCACGTGCCAATCTTGCTGCGAGTGGACAGATGTTAACTCCCTCGCCTGGTATGAAGGAGGTTGTGGGTTCACTCCCGATCCTGACGCCTGCTGCTGCTGTATATTTGGGAGTGTTCGTGTTCTCCCCATGGTCGCGTGAAATTTTCTTTGGGTCCTGCGGTTTTTCCCTCCACATTTAAAATTAACATTCATTACATGTCCACGTGATACGCCACTTCATTGAGCTATCATTTGTGGCCAGGGTGCTCCTGCAAAAGAGTTACACAGCTCGGTAGGCCTTACCTGGTAAAATATTACGTAAAAATGTTGAGTTTTTAGCTGAAATATATTGAGCAAGATTGGTGTAAATTTAGTGGGGAAGCCAAATGACCGTCGTATTGAAAGTGCAGGTTTTAATCAAGTTGACTGGCTGGACTTGGACGGAGGATCTCAGCGGTATTAGTTCAGTGCCGCTGACATGGGCATTAGTCCACTGAGCCACTTGGTAATGGAAGTGGATATTTAGTGTGGGAGCCAAAGGACAGTGACAACACACTCCCGACTCCTTCAAAATCAACAGTGCCCCGTTCACCAACGGCGAACGTCACGACGACGGGCGGCTTACAGCACTTGACAAATGTGCGTGGGTGCCGTGCCGTGCAATCTGAAAGCAAGACAAACTGCAAAGCGCTCCAAACAAAAAAAAATGAAAATTAAACCGAACTGGAAAAAATACCGCTTAAAATGTAATTCCGCACCCAAAAAATGAAAGTGTAAATCGCTTCTGAAACTGCAAGGGTTGTCGTAAAGCCCTCCTCCACCTGACAGCCATTTAATGAATGTAATTGTTTCCGCAGCACCACTCATGGTATTGTTGGAGTGAAATCTCAGAACATTTACACGGGTACCGACGTTTCGCTGGAGATTACATCCGGCATCATCAGGTTGTTAACAGCAGCTCAGATCTATTTTATTAATTGGCCGCGTTGGGTGGAGGAGGGTTTACAACATGCATTTTTACACGACGACCGAACTCAAAAGATACCAATTATGAATCACATCGGTGTTGAGAGCCTTCGTATGAAAATGAAACCAAGTAATTGTTAAAAACGTAGCAGCAAAAACGCGGAGAGTGAGAGACGTGTAAAAATGTAGATTTTCTCGCAGAACTCTTTATTGACAGGGCAACATTTCAGGATGTGTTCGATTAAACAAAGTGAGAAGCAGCTAACCGGTTACGAATTAGTTAAGGGATTACATTTTTTATCAAGAGATGTTATTTTTAACCGAAGGCGGCTGCGGTACCGGTTCACTTACTGATCATGGTGGTGCCACCAGCCAATGCCGCACGCGTGCCCTGGTAGAAGTCATCCATGGTGCTGGTACCCAGGTAGGGCATCTGCAGGTGGGTGTGGACATCGATGCCACCGGGCATCACCATGCGTCCGTTGGCTTCGATGCTCTTCACGCCGCCCGGGACGATCAAGTTGTCCCCGATTTGCCTGCAATTCAAGAATTTGTTGGGGCTCAAATGCCCAACTCGAGTTCGCAGCACGTTGAGCAGAAGGCGAGTGTTAAGTCAGATTGTTTCCATGCTCGAACAAAGCACCGGGCAACAATCGGCTCCACTGGTGGCCAATGGTGGAAATTTCCACACTCCTGTGGTCATGGCCAGTCTTATTGATAGGATGACCACTGGTGACTTGCCACAGAGTTCCACTTGTCTCATGCGAGTCCACGTCAACACCTGACAGGGGATTTGAACTTACCTCACAACGCCAAACGACTTGTAGAGCATATTGAGATGGAGTTCAAATTCAGAGTTCACATTTAGTCAATGCAACTGGATTCCACTGCAGTGTCCGATTATTGACGGTGTTTGACTATCCTTTATGTGTACATCAAATAAAGGTAAAATGTTATCCTGTACATTGAAAGCTTAATGTTATAACAACTGACCATTCAGTAAATGTTTTTTTTTCAAGCATAAATATCCATGTAAATTCTATCGTCCCCGCCCAAGATGATAGTTTCATACTTATGTTACAAAATCAGGGCTATGCTATATTTGTGAGCTATAAAGCAATCGTGTTAATGTGGATAACTTTGCCATTACTGATTCCAAAAGGGAATTGTCATCATATCGACTCACTGCCACACCCTAAACAAATAAATTATGGCAAGAAGCATTTTCTGGAAATTGGATAAAACCACAATTACAGGCATCCCATGCCAACTACTCCTCTCTCTAAGAAATCAATGAAAGTAATGCATACATTGGCAACGGAAACGAGAGCATTATCCTGTCAACTGTTGGCAGCGATTGACATTTCAGTTATGCAGGCAACTGGATTTATGATAATCAGCCTTTGGGCTGGACCAGGTATTCATGTCCTATTTTGTGTTTAACTGCATCGCCAGTTTACACAATGGCAGTGATTTAGTGCAGTATGGTCTAATTGTAAGGTCATACTGGGACATTCTATAATCTTGGTACAGCTGCTGAGCTGGTGCAATGTATTTGTTTCGCAAACCATATTAGATCGCAATTCGTTTTTTATTTTTTCAAATTTAAATGCATTCACTTTACGTATTTTCATTCAAATAATACAAACGTCACCGTTATCGTTGTATAAATATCCAAACCAATGTTTGTACAAATCACACATCCCTTGTGCTAAGTCTGCTTCTCGACGAAAAAAAAAGAGGTTCCCATGGTAACAGTGCGCATCGCCACGCGATGTCAGACCAATTTGCATCTCCGTTTGTGCCGTCCAAGAGCGGCGAGAGTCTTCAAGGTCACCCTTTTGTAGGAAAACGGGAGTCTTATAAAACGTCGCCACCGATTACTCAGAACAATGCACCGAGCCCCTATGCGAGAGACTGAACGTTATTCCTGCTCATTCAGTTTCCCTCTTTGTCTTCAAACATTTCACAAGCTTAATGAAAATGAGGCCTGTAATTCTGTTAGCTTGCCTGCCCAAAACAAGAGTAGATTTTTTTTCAGAGTTTGTGCCCTGTATCCCGTTGAGGGTAGAACCCCACATGGCTGTACGTACATTTTAGGCCATTTTATTCCTAAAAGGATCAACGTCTCATAGACGCCATTCAGCGTAGGGTGTGGCTGTATTTCACTGGATCACCCAGCTCCAACCACCGCACGGAATGGACAGAGATGTATTATTGGGCGATTCATCTAAAAATAAATGACCGGCAGTTCGAGGAAAATTACCAAAAAAAATTCCACGGTCCCGTGTTGGGTGCGATGACCTCATTTACCAAATAACTGTACGCATGTTTTAACAGGCTAAAATGTTGCCACATCAAATTACGTTTTACCAAAGACATTTCTAAATGGAGACAATTGTGGGTTGAAATGTAGCACTCAAAGGTGAAATTCAACGGCGACCTGGGCAGTTGCCATGTGATCCTTGAGGGTCACAGCAAAAACAGCCATTGCTCGCGTGATGCCGCAAAAAAAAAAATCTTGATTCATTGAACATAGCGGCAATGGCCGCCGTTGCTAGACAACTGGATTTTTTTTTCGGAGCAAAGAGCAACGCCTGTCCGTGACAGCAACGTAATCAATAGTTACTTTATAAAGCCATCCTCCACGTAAATGTCGGCGGTGAACGACTGGTCATCATTGATGATGCGTCCTCCCTTTATCAGCAGACGGTCACTCTGGAGGGGTCAAAGCGGGGGAACACACAGACAACACGAGAGACACACAGCGAGAGTTCGTTTTAACGAGGTGTCTGGGTGGTTCAGGGAACCAAAGCAACCGCAACATTAGAGAGCAGTTAGAGAGCACCTTGGAGATCACGTGTGTCCAAGCCCCTGGCCATCGCTATGATAAATAAAATATCGGCATGTACATGGTGGCCCAATAGTCAGGACACGCAGGGATATTTTAACACTTGCATTAACATATTTTAATTGGATATTCTTGAAGTTAATATTTGATCTATTATGATGATTTATATCTATGTGTCTTCTTATTCTTGTGGGGGTCACCTCAAATCCGTCACTTACAAAACTGGATCAAGAACCCTGACTGAATTGAGACAACATCAGTGATGGATGTTCAGAGATTATACCGGTTATCTTTGAAAACAAAGTCCTAAATGCATTTCAAAAGAGAACTGATGCACGCATTAATGTTAATTGAAGTCAGTAAGAACATATGCTTAAATAACCCTTTGTGACTTGTTAAAATAAATTAAATAACCCTATGTGTCCTGACTTTTGGTCCACCCTCTATAGTGTTTGATAGTCTCATGCTACATGTATAACTGTGCACCACAGAAAATTATAATTTGCATTTCATTCTCATTGAACAAATCTGCGCGGGGCACATTATTCCTCGTCGGACACTGAGCACTAACATTAAGAAGATGCGGTGAAAAGGTTCAAAAAAGATGGTTCACTCATTGTTGCCCTCCGCCTCGCTTGCCCGCTCACTACAAGCACACGGTGAGGTTTTTGTTTGAATTATGCAGGGTTTCTGAATTGGGGCATAGATGCTTCGCTTTGTGCCTGGTTGTCAGCCGAGAGAATCGTGAAAGGAGAACAAAAAAAATGTACCAACCCTGCCTCGGATGAAAACTGTAAAAAAAAAACAACCCAATGCTTTCTGGTTTAAGACGCAATTTGTTTAACCGATTACATTTAAAATAAAGCAAGCAGGAAACGTTGCATTTAATGGATGCACCATTGTAGGAATGCGTGAGGGATGGGGGTTGGCGTGGGTGGTGGTTTTTTTTTTCTCCTCTCCAAATACATCTCATCCGAGGTCACATGGCCAATCTCCATGGCACCAAGCGCCCCCTTTGGACGTCACAAAGGGCCCACCGACCGAGGCTGCCATTTTGAGCGGAGCCGTTGGACAGCGCCACCACCGCCAACGTAGCCGTTATCACCGGGGCGGAGGAGTGGGGGGGGACCCATCGGGCCAGTGAGCAGGCCTCTCTCACGACAGCCCAACGACAAGCGTGATGAGGCTGCGCTCATTCATTGGTGGTGTTGCTGGGTTTTTTTTTTTAAAAGTAGGATTAATAAGGAAACGTTTTCAGAGATAAAACCGCTGCACGGGCGTGACAGCGGGACCTTTGCGTTGCACCTCACACAGCATTCATTCACAAGCCTTACGCAGTATACATTTCAATATTTTTTTGTTAAACCTACCGAGAGAAGTGACTTCATCATGATCAACCTGATATAATGTGATTCATGCAGAGATAGGTTTTTTTTTTTGGGGGGGGGGGGGGGTGGAGGGGGATATTTAGTTGCAATTGTTACATTTGCAAATTTGGATAAGACACTGGCATGCGTTTGACATGCTCTTACAACCAACTGCGTGGGGGTTTTCATGTTCGCTTCACAGCAAAGAATGCAAATGAGGTACCACGCATATGCGGTGATACAACCCACCACTTAACACAAACTGCTTCGTGTGGCATAATTCTCAGCCATGATCTATCCACCGCTGGGTGAAGAACTCCCCAAGATATCGCCATCTCACACGGCCTGGCGAGGAGGATACAATCCCTGACACCATTTCCGTTCCACGTATTCAGTTTGTTTTTCTCTCTCTCCACGTTTCTATCGGTCCATGTTACCCCAATCAATGTTGTGGTAGAACAAACATCTGGAACATCCTTCTCGCCTGAATTATTTTTTACTTTTGCTAAAAAAAAGGAAAATTACACCATTCGTTTAACGAGCCAGTCTCTATCAAGCATTATGGTTCAATCATGCTCTCAAAGGGCTGCTAGGAGCTAGTATCAACAATAAATACAATCATAGTAGAAAAAACTGAAGACGTTTTATATATATACTAGACCTGCTACCTTGCGATTACATGTTTAATCACGGCGTAGCTGCGTTCATCCATCCTGCCAAGAAATTTACGGACGCAGAAGCTGTTGCTAAGTGCCGTGTTGCTAAGTCAACAGGTATATGCAGAGAATTATACCTGCATGGGTGTCAAAGCAATTGCAGTGCTCACAATGCACCACATATAAAGGTGATTATTACCTAAATAGTTTTACCCCTCATTAATGATCGGGCCTCAAATGAGCGAACTCAACAGGGGGACACGTCCACATCACTACAAAGATTTTACTGTGTGCCTTGTGCGTATGCATGTTGAACTGCTTGCTCTATCTTTACATTTACTCTGCAGAGAACACACGTGTACTGTGTGCACTGTACTGCAATTCCTATGAGCGTGAGCCAGTATATATATTACCCGATAATTATGAACTGTCAGTGTTTTATCCCAGCCTGTCATCACGTAAGCGGTCCAGTGTGTGTGCGTCTGTCTGCGTAAGAAGTCGGTGTGTGACGCAGTATTGCCCTCGTAGTGCATTGCTATAAATGGACACACTCTCGTACAGTCGCAGATGCACAAGCACGGCTCGTCAGTCAATCCACTTCTGGATGGGGAGTCTCCCCACTGATATTTGACCGTGCTTCACCACGCTAGTCGGTGTGGGTTGGTGCAGGTGTGCAGGGTTGGTGCAGGAGTGTGGGTTGGTGCAGGAGTGTGGGTTGGTGCAGGTGTGTGAGCTTGTGCAGGTGTGTGAGCTTGTGCAGGAGTGTGGGTTGGTGCAGGAGTGTGAGCTGGTGCAGGAGTGTGAGCTTGTGCAGGAGTGTGGGTTGGTGCAGGAGTGTGAGCTTGTGCAGGAGTGTGGGTTGGTGCAGGAGTGTGGGTTGGTGCAGGTGTGCGGGTTGGTGCAGGTGTGCGGGTTGGTGCAGGTGTGTGAGCTGGTGCAGGAGTGTGAGCATCTGCAGGAGTGTGGGTTGGTGCAGGAGTGTGAGCTGGTGCAGGTGTGCGGGTTGGTGCAGGAGTGTGAGCTGGTGCAGGTGTGCGGGTTGGTGCAGGAGTGTGAGCTGGTGCAGGTGAGCGGGTTGGTGCAGGAGTGCAGGGTTGGTGCAGGTGTGTGAGCATGTGCAGGAGTGTGGGTTGGTGCAGGAGTGTGAGCTGGTGCAGATGTGCGGGTTGGTGCAGGAGTGTGAGCTGGTGCAGGTGTGCGGGTTGGTGCAGGAGTGTGAGCTGGTGCAGGTGTGCGGGTTGGTGCAGGAGTGTGAGCTGGTGCAGGTGTGCGGGTTGGTGCAGGAGTGCAGGGTTGGTGCAGGTGTGTGAGCATGTGCAGGAGTGTGGGTTGGTGCAGGAGTGTGAGCTGGTGCAGATGTGCGGGTTGGTGCAGGAGTGTGAGCTGGTGCAGGTGTGCGGGTTGGTGCAGGAGTGTGAGCTGGTGCAGGTGTGCGGATTGGTGCAGGCGTGCAGGGTTGGTGCAGGTGTGTGGGCTTGTGCAGGTTTGCAGGGTTTGTGCAGGTGTGCGGGTTGGTGTAGGTGTGTCAGCTTGTGCAGGAGTGTGGGTTTGTGCAGGTGTGCGGGTTGGTGTAGGTGTGTGGGTTGGTGCAGGAGTGCGGGGTTGGTGCATGTGTGCGGGTTTGTGCAGGTGTGCAGGGTTTGTACAGGTGTGCGGGTTGGTGCAGGTGTACGGGTTGGTGCAGGGTGCGGGTTGGTGCAGGGTGCGGGTTGGTGCAGGTGTGCGGGCATGTGAAGGTGGTGGAATTTGCTGCACTGCCCTCTGCTGCTAACACTGCGTGACGACCACCACCCGCCTGACTCGCTTGGTGTTCGCCAGCACCGTACGTGTTAGCACTCATCAGGCTCGTTCCGACTTGGCTTACTCAGTGTCACAGGCACGGGTTCGTTCCGTGCGATTTCGCCATTACCTACACTAACTACGCAGCAGCACAACGCTTAAACGCTATTGCAATATATTCACTTAGCAATGCACCCGATTGCGTATTGTGCGAAAACGCCGAGCAATGTAGAGACACAGCAATACACCCCGGGGGAGCGCGCTGGGCGCCGATTCTCCTACTGTGATATCCGCGGCACAGCGCTGGATACGATACATTTACTCCGCTGACGCAGGGGACAGTTGCGAGACGATAAGAACGTTCGCTTCGACGCGCGCTTCACGTGGCACATGCGCGCGTCCGTGTGTGACCTACACACACACACGTACGCGCACGACGACGATCAATGGTCATGCTTGCTGACCACAAAGACAAAGATCCGCCCGTGTAGCCTCAACACGCTGTTTGGGGCAAGTGCTGTTACACGAGCACCTACGGGCGCGCACGAAGACGCATCGGACATACCAAGACAAAGACGGCAGACGGAGCGGAGACGGCGGAGCGCAACGGCGACACGCGCACGAAGACAAAGACACACGCAGAGAGACAAACACAGCAGGGACAAAGGACACACAGTGACGGACACACAACACACCACACCACTCGTCATAAATTGCCACAAGCGACAGGCAGCCTCCAGTTGCAAGCTCCCTTCGCCGTGCGTTCACACCACGCGGCAGCGAGGAGGAGGATGAGGAGGAGACATCCGACACGCGCCGCTCGTCGACGCGAGCGAACCTTTAAACAATTACGTACGAGGCATTTACACCTAGTCGCCATCTTTACACCGCCCCCCCCCCCCACTACTAACACAATAAGGACACCCCCCCCCCCAATCCACCACAACTAAGACAATTAAAACACGACGCTCACAATGTACACGGGGTGTGCGCGCGCGGTGCGTGTAACAACCATCACGCTACGCGCGTGTCCTCGTCATCCCACCACCCCTCTCCATCCACCCA